AAAAAAAAAAAAAAACATATCATAGTAAAATTAATACCTTCTCCTCTTCGCATCGAAGCTAAAACTTTCATAATATTTGTACAAATGTCCCTGAATTATGATACGATTTTCAGCTGTATTCATTTTTTACTTTGTCAGTGGCAACCGCTATAGTTAGACGCGTTTTTATGAGCTGGGCGATTTTCATATGTTAAAAAAATGGATCAAGGATTTGTATCAATGTAAACAATTATTTGAAGTGTAACAAAGTGTTTAAAATGTTAATTATTGCCTATGGTGAGTTTTCTATGAGAAAAACAAGGGTTTACAAGTGCTACAAGCTTATATTACTGTATAAGCCAGGTGTGAGTAACTAGCGGCCCGCGGGCCATTTTTATCTAACCTGCGCTACATTTTCAAATTGCAACATACAATATTAAAGTTTATCGTCTATACTCTATAATCTATATATATAGTCTATAGTCCATACTCTACCTTATCGATATAAATGATCATAAATGATGGCAAATTTGTTAAAAATTGTGCAGTAAAAATGGCTAAATCAATTAACAAAAACAAAATTGCCAGTGAATTTGAAAAAATTTCAGTTTGAAGGTGCACAGTGACACGTAGTATAGCTGACATTGATAGTGCCATTCATAAGACATTGCAAATTATTATGAAGGATTGTGCATATTTTTCGATTGCATTGGAAGAAAGCACAGATGTTTCAGATGTAAGTCAACTTTTGATATTTGTTAGAGTAATATCTCCACAGTTTGAAGTGTATGAAAAGCTATTACAATTATGTTTCTTGCATGAAACTACCAAAGGAAGTGATATATTTAATTCAGTAAAAAACGCAATTGAACCATTTGGTGGATTCAAAAAAATGTCATCGATTGTGACAGATGGTGCCAAAGCTATGGTTGGCAAAAATATTGGTTTTGTTGGATTATTACGCAAATTTAACGTTAATGTTCCTGATATACATTGTATTATTCATCAGGGAGAGTTGTGTGGAAAAATAATGAAGCTTGACGGAGTTATGAATACTGTTTTTAAAATTACTAATCTCATTAGAGGAGGTAACCGTAGTTTAAACCACCGTAATTTTATTACATATTTGGAGGAACTTGATTGTGAGTATGGGGATTTACTATTATACATGAATGTACGCTGGTTAAGTCGTGGAAAGTGTCTAGAACGTTTTTTTGTTTTGAGAAAAGAAATACTTGAGTTTTTTAAAACAAATATTAAAATTGATACAACGTATTTGGAAAACCAATTGGTTGATAAACAATTTTTATGTTTATTTGCATTTTTAACTGATATTTCTCAACATTTAAAGAAATTAAATTTACAACTTTAAGGTAAAAAAACAAACAATTTCTCAAATTATTGGATTTTCAGAAAAAAATTGGTAGTTTTTAAAAATTTAGTCGTTGAAAAAAAACTAATTCATTTTCCGTGTTGCGAAATTATAAAAATAGAATTGAACGATGAGTTTAATTTTCATTATTGTATTACCCACTTGGACGAATTAACTGTAGAATTCGAAAGACGATTTGTAGAAATTGAACTTATGCGCCATTAAATAAATTTGTTTAATAATCCAATGGCAGTTGAAATTGAAAAGCAAGATGCTGAACTTCAATTAGAATTATGTGAGTTACAAACAGATCCATTATTATTATCTACAAAATAGATTGATATAAGCTTCTGGAAAAAACTACCTATTCTAAAATATCCACTTTTACGAGAATTCGCATTAAAAATGTTATCCATGTTTGGGACTACTTACATTTGTGAATGTACATTTTCAAACATGAAACATATTAAATCAAAGCATAGAAATCGACTTACAGATGAAATATTAAGTCACCTACTTCGTCCGAAATTGAAGTCGATTTTGCCGCGTTGTCACTAGAAGCGACACATGCTCAAAAATCACACTAAACAAATATCTATTTATATTTAATTAAATTATTTTAATATTATTTTAATTATTTTATTAAATTATTTTAATAAATTGGCCCTCTAATAACTTTGAGTTGCTTATTCCTGGTATAAGCGTTTTCAAGATTGTCGTGAACACGTTGAAGATGAAAAACGCCCCAGCACATCAACAACCTATAAAAACGTGGAAAAATTTAAAGAAATGTTTATGAACGATCATCGAATTACAATCAGAGAAATCGTTGATGATGTTGGAATATCGATTGGCTCATGTCATGAAATTTATTCGAATGTTTTGGGTATAAAACGCATAGCAGCAAAATTTGTTCCAAAATTGTTGAGTTCTGTACAAAAACAGCGGCAAATTGAAGTTGCTCAGGAGTCTAATAAAGTCAACGACGATGTAAAATTACTAAAATGTATTATAGTAGGTGATAAAACATGGGTTTATGAATGCGACGTTGAAACTATGGCTCAATCGTCCAAGTAGGGCAGATAATAAAAAAATGGAAATAAATATGTAAATAAAAAATCTTTAACTATATTATTATTATATTAAGGAACTATGTATTATTATTGAAATATATTTATGTATTGGAATAGAGTATCTTTATGATAACTAAATTATCTTCTTTAAAATTTTAATAATTACTAAATTATTTATAGCTACATTATTTTTATTCTTGTCTATAATTTTAATAATATTTATTATTAAAATCTTACTGGGTAATATTTCTTGACAATTAGGACATGTAGCATTATACTTTTGAGTTTTCCATTTATTAATGCAATTATTATGATATTTGCAACCACATTTATGAGTACTGAATTTTGAGGTAAGTTCCATTAGACAAATAATGCAGTCTGAAAGAAAAAAGTTTAACATAACAGTTCTTAGATCAACAAAATTATAATAACGCTGATATACAAGGAATATGAATTGAAATTGTAGCATGAGAAAATCGCATAATTTATGCGATACAAATGCCTACAAATGGTAAAAATGAAACTAAAATTTCCTATCCCCATAATCAGAGGTTTTTCTTCCTTGAAAATTTCATTTGTATCTAAAATAAACGTAATTGCATAAAAATTGTCATACAAATTAAGAAGTAACTCAAATTATGATAAATTAGAAAAAAAATTCTTTTTGTATATTTCATCAAATTGCATTGACATTTCTCTAAGTCTTTTTATGCAGTTTATTTACAGTTTTCACAATAATGTAATAAAAAAAAAAAAGCTTATGATAAATTTTTTTTACCCAAGAGACGTTATAAATAATTTACTACGGATTATGCATTTTTTTTTAGTATACGACGTTATTACATAAAATAATGATAGATTAATTAGCATACTTTTTTGTTCGGAATCTAATGCTGAAATCATATTATTTTAAAATAACTTATCAAATACAATATATTTCTTATACAGTTATTGTAAAATATATTAAAATAAATGATTAATGTGCATGTTATGAGTGGATCCGAGCAAGCGGATGAAGTGAAACTTCTTTTTTTATGAAGATATTGCGTGAAAATTGCATCTATTGATATTATATCTTATATGTAATTTAATAAAATCCCATATATTAATACACTTAATTCAAAATTAGATAAAATTGACTAGTAAAAGTAAAGTGTAAACATTTAATAGGTTGTCGGAGAAATGTTTATTTAAATCGAATAAACTGCATAAATTTTATTAGAACAGTTTTGGCGTGATTTTGATCAAGATTTTTTCGAATTTTAAAAATTTTTGGCCGTGGCTAAGCGTGATGCCGACCATGGCCAACCGTTATGCGATCATGATGCTTGATAATCTGTCTTTTTTTGGACCTTTTGTAAGGAAGTTTCACTTCAATATATAAAAAAATTGTTTGATTTTTATTTTCTGAAAATCCAACTATGGTATGACTACAGTCTTACCTAGCTAGTTGGTAACCCCTTTTAAAAATTTTAATTAATATAAAACCTTGATCCCTATGTTGGCTTTGATACGAATCTGAGAAAGTATTAATTTTACTATGATGTGTTTTTTGTGATTGTTACCACTTTTTCTCAGCTTTCACCGAACCGATTTCTTTCAACGATCTTTTGATTTCATCAAAAGATCACAAATTGTATCTAGTCAGAAGACATTACCCTCAAAAATTGAAAAAATTTCCCTCGTTCCCCGTAAATGGGGGAAACCTCCAAAAAAATTACAAATTTAAAAATCGCTAATTTTTTCAATTTTTTTTACTTAAAACTGCCATAACTTCAAAAATGAACAAATCAAAAAAATTTTTTTTTATAGATGCTTGAAGTCATTACCTATCATTTGGTATATTTTTTTTATTAATTTAAAGGGTCAGATTTATGCCCACGGGCGGTGTTTCAAAATAACAACTTTTTCAACTAAACTTTTGAATTTGAAATACTGATACTTTTACTTATACCTTAAATAAAAGCTTATGTAATATACTTTATTATGAAAAAATTTTGGAAATTATTTTGTCTTCTCGGTGAAAATTGGTGCCATATGCTATTATTGTATGAAAATTGTCGATTTTACATTTTACATTTTTAACTTTATATTTATATAACATTTTGAAAAATGTATGGATCAATACAAGTTTTTCATGAGAAATAATATTTATATACTTCTTTCAATCGACATACTTTTTTTTTTAATCGAACCGTTTCACTCAATATACGGGTGTTCAAAACTTAAAAATGCATATAGAAAGTAAAACTTTTTCAACTTATTTTTTGAAAGTGTTCCGGAAATACTGACACTTCAATATATATCTTAAATTAAAGTTGAAGTAATATACTTTATTTCCGAAAAAAAAATGTCGGACTTTTTTTTTGTTTTTACTATGAAAACAGACATTAATGTTAATAAAAAAAATACGATTTTTGTAAAAAAATTCTTTTTTATATTTTTAACTTTATAATGCTATAACTTTTTAAAAAATATATGGATCATTACAATTTTTTTATAATAAATACTATTTCCCTTTATATATTTATATATTATAAATATATATATTGATATAATATAGATTCATCTTGGCTCATGTCTTACACGACAAACACCCTGTTGAGTAAACATATCTCCCGGTTCCCTACCATCAAGTTCCCCATGGTTCCAAGACAGGATTCGAAAATATTTCTCTACTGACCCACTCTTCGCTACAAAGTAGAGGGTGAAATGCGTGTATTGCCAATGACATTGCTGAACACAAATATGTAAATAACACATATTTTATGATTAACACTTTAAAAAGGTAATTTAAAAAGGTTAAATTTTTGCACAAGTAAAATTTATCTTGTACTTACCTGATTTAGATTTATTACCTATATTATTTGAAATAAAATAATACAAACATACGTAAAAATTATATGGCGATTGGTAATAATCGTAATATACTTGATATTTAAGTTATAATGTAGGTATAACATTCAATTATTTTGCATATTAATAAAAAGCGGTAACACAGTAAAGTTGAGACACTGTATGAACATGGTACATCTGGGACAAGTATAGATGATATCTGACAGTGATTAAAATCACTATCATAAAAAACGCTTCGATGCAAATCTGTAGATAGTGTTTCATTTTAAGAATTTGGTGATTTATTCTAAAAGTAAAATTAACTCCTATTTTTAATATTTTAGAAATAATCAGTGTAAAATATCATTTTTAACCTATTATTTGATATTTTAAAGTTAATTTTTTAAAAGTTTATAATAAAAAAAAAGTTGAATTTTTTACTATAACTTTTAGCTCAACTTCAAATTTGAAATTGACATAATTAAATAGACAATTTTATGAGTATTAAAAAAATTGTATCGTTAAGATTAATATGCAGATAGGAAGTCTTAAAAATACTATTTATAATAAATTTATCAGAAAAGCTCAATATTTTGTTGGCTTTTATATCGTAATAGGTAACTAAAATAGAAATAATAGTAATCATTTCCTAGTCACTTTTGGCGTTTAAAAATATAAAATAAAAGATTTACTCAATTGAGCGTATAATAAAATATGATTATACAAGGTGGCCCATAATAACCTTTCACATTTTGTTTATAAATACCTTTTGTTCAAAAAAATATAGAAGAACGGTAAATCCGGTTCCAGATAGCTAGGAGATGCCGCCTAATTATGTTTCATTGTGATTTTATTATAATGGAACAGTGGACGGGTGCTCATCGTGCGTTTATCATAAAAGCTTATTATAAGAATAATGACTCTTACGTGAGTGCAATTCGAGAGTTTCGTATAAATGCCAACAAAATATTGAGCTTTTCTGATAAATTTACTATAAATAGTAGAAATGTTAAGTTTGTGAACGAATAGTTCATTTGAACTATTCACTTAGATGAACTATTCTGAACTGTTTCAGTACCTGTAACTTAACAGTTCACAGTTCGAAAAAAATTGGTAGCAATGTATAAATGAAATAGTTCGCGAACTTCTTTAAAAATTCTCTGTGGTTCGTTGTTCGAAATACTGTAAATGGTTAATAGCTGTTTACAATTAGATAACAAATAAATTATATTGTTAAAATGTTACACGGTTTTTAACTGTTTAACAATAAAATAAATTCATACTATGTACAAATATTAGATCAGATTTCTGATTTAACTTAGGACTACTGGTCAGTATATCTACCTTGAATTAGGTGATAATGATAACATGAGCCATGAGGGTATTGATAATAATTTTTTCTTAGTTTATGATGTTCAGGTTAAGGGTTAGTTTATAACTTAATTGCCCATAAGTAATGTGAACTACAACTGAACTGTGTACTGCTATACTAATAGTGATAAAATGAATAGTTCATTGCTAAACAGTATCAGCATGATCAATAAAATTAGTGAACTTAAGAATAGTTCATTTGAACTATTCACTTGAATGAACTATGAACTAATGAACTATTCACAGAAATGAACTAAACTTTCTATCTCTAATAAATAGTATTTATAAGACTTCCTAACTGCATATTAATCTTAACGATACAATTTTTTTAATTCTCAAAAAATTTTCTATTTAATGATGTCAAATTCAAATTTGAAGTTGAGCTAAAAGTTATGGTAAAAAATTCAACTTTTTTTTTATTATAAACTTTTAAAAAATTAACTTTAAAATATCAAATAATAGGTTAAAAATGATATTTTACACTGATTATTTCTAAAATATTAAAAATAGGAGTTAATTTTACTTTTAGAATAAATCACCAAATTCTTAAAATTAAACACTATCTACAGATTTGCATCGAAGCGTTTTTTATGATAGTGATTTTAATCACTGTCAGATATCATCTATACTTGACTGGTTTTATAAATTATTAAATGATAAATATATTAGTGCAAAACACCACACAAACCCAACCTGCGTTATATTTCTATTCATTCCTAACATACCCCACGCTATGCTACCCTTATTTTTATTTCTTTTTGTTTACTACAATATATTAACGAGGTTAACTATGTCCGCGCTAGCCAAGGCTTTACGCTGAGAAACACTGGGCCACCAAAGTCTTGTTAATTATATTTTGAATATAGATATACATATTCTTATAATTATATTTTGACAAGTTCAGAGTAAATTTTAAGAATATCGATATCGACTATAGGGAATTCATCGAAAATATTATTAGTAAAAACATAGTATAATATAATAGGAATTTAAAGAAAATAAAAAAAAGATAACAAAATAGAATAGACGCAGGTCCCATTATAGAGAACCTTTTTTTTTCTAAATCTAATATACACAGAGAGACTAATTAGTCGAAATAAACGCAAGACAGTATAAACGACTGTTGACACTGAAGAAGAAACCACCATAAAACCAACTCAATCAATTACAAAAGGAAATAAAGGTAAGTGCGAATATTTATTTGCATGCCTTACTTCTAAAAAATTACGTAATAAACAAGAATAGGAATAAGTGAGGTAGGGATATTTTATTATTTAATAAATAAATATAGTTCGACCCCGAGATACCATTTCATTTTTACCATCTTTATCCCCGTCATCTTTAATCTTTTTTTTTTGTTTATTACATAATATAAGTAATAACATCACCTAATTCCTGAGTATCACATTCGACCGATGTGTATCCAACAGTTACAATAAATATTTATTCATATATATCATGTATAAATCATAAAACTTGTAAAGAAGGTATATCAAGGTATTAACTTTTGAAAATGTTCCTGAAATACTGCGTCCTTTAAAGATATGTTAAATTAAAACTTATATTACGTACTATAAATTACAAAAAAAAATATGTCCTGACAACTTATCTTCTACGTACAAATGATATGGCAGTCGAAGTTGAACAAAATTATACAATATTAAATTTTTAAATATCAATTTCGCGGGGTAGCGGGGCATCGTGTATAACGAAGCGAAACAGGGTTGTCAATATATTACACTTATAAATCATAAAACTTGTAATTAGGATACAAACAAGGAAATAAGATATCACGTAGCTTTTAGAATAATCCACCAATTTTTTAAAAATTAAACTCGATCTACAGATTTGAATCGAAACGTTTTTTATGATAGTGAATTTAATCAATGTTAGATACATTTATACTTGTTCCAATTATGCCACATCCACTGTGCTATCGTTTCTATTTAATTGGGCATTTTTTTTTTCTAAATTAATACAATTTGTTAAATCTTAGTCCGAGTCACATACTCAGTCTAGCTAATGTCGGATTACTTATACTTATTGTGTACACCCGATGTATACATAAAGGTTTAATTAGTTTTTTAAGTGTAGATACCTCATTATGTATCTAGCCTAGTTACTAGACAAAAATTTAAAATCATATAAATTTTAAACTTATATACAGGGTGATTTTTTTATCATAACCCACTCAATTAATTACAGAATAATAATAATTAAAATTTTTTTTTTTATTATTATCTTTAGTTACACATTATTCTTGAATTATTAACTATGTAATACTTTTTAAGTTCATCCCTTATGCCTGGTAAGGGTGTCAACTTTGTTTTTTTAAATGGCAACACATATTTTTAATTTAATAAAATGTTTGAGTTTTTAATTCAATAGTAAATGGCATTTGAATTTTTAATGAAACTTAATTGGTTTATTAGATATAAACATTTAAAGTTTCAAATTTTTGAGTTAATATATAGGTATAATACACAAGGGATCACAAATACAAGTAGCAAATTGGTTTTTTTTGATATTGTTATCACAGTCACGGATTGTTTATTATCAATTATGACTATCAATAGATATACTTTTTGTATTGTCAGTTAGTGTATTTATAAACTCACAACAATGTACCTTACTATCATTGATAATAACAATGCTGTGTACCTGCTAATATCGATGTCATAAAAAATCAATTAGCTACCTATATTTTTAATCCCTTGTGTATTATACCTATATATTAACTCAAAAATTTGAAACTTTAAATGTTTATATCTAATAAACCAATTAAGTTTCATTAAAAATTCAAATGCCATTTACTATTGAATTAAAAACTCAAACATTTTATTAAATTAAAAATATGTGTTACCATTTAAAAAAACAAAGTTGACACCCTTACCAGTATAATAAACAAAAGTATAATAAGTATAATAACTAGGGCTAGGGACTTCTAAGAGTTTGCATATTTTACAATTATCATTAAAAACATAGCTAAGTATTATAGAAATTTGTTTCCTAGTAATACGAGTTTAAATTAAAAATTTTTAGTTGCATATTTTGCATATTTAGCCATTTTTTGTTTATAAGTGCACATTTGATCATTTTTGATATAAAATGTTAGTTTTTATAAATATTTTACACTAAACATTTAAATTTAAGTCGATTTTCTAGATCAGAAATATTAATTTTATGGTTTTTACGTTTGTAAAATTAGTGTTTGTTTCTCGGTCGATCACTCGTATTGTTATTTATGAGTAGGTAAACCACACACTGACATACGTGATTCCAAAAGGCGATAATGACACCAAAATAACATTCTATGACCATTACCTACTCCCATTGACCGGACGTGCCCCTTGAATATTTATATTTTTGATAAGTTGATAGTTGGTGTGCGTTCTTCGTGGTATCGTGTTTTCTTGTAGTATTGCTTGAATCCTCAATAAAATAATAAAAATGCCTAGACCAAAACCAAAAGTTTATGATCGGCTAAACGATTTTGTAAAAGAATTCGGTGAAATAATATTTTCGGCGGATAAATCTGTTTTATTTTGTAAAATATGTGACATTAAAGTTAGTGCTGAGAAAAGATTTACTGTAATTCAACACATAAAAACAGCAAAACACATTCAGGGTCTTTATTGGCAACAATTGAAACCAAAAAAAACTCAACAACTTGTATCCACTTCTTTCACAAAGAAAAACGATTTTAATAAAGATTTATGTAAAGCAATGTTATCGGCTAATATAACTTTTTATAAATTAAAAAATAAACATTTTCGAGAATTCTTGGAGTTGTATACTAAAAAAGAAATATCGAAAGATGCCACTCTCCGAAAAGGTTATGTTGACTATTTATATTTGGAAACAATAGAAAAAATTAAAAAGTTTGTTGACGGAAAAAATGTTTGGGTCTCAATAGACGAAACCAGTGACGCAGAAGGACGCTTTATTGCAAACGTTATAATTGGAACTCTTACAATTGATGAACCGGGTTGTATTTATTTGTTGAATTCGGAAGAGTTAGAAAAAGTAAACCATTCGAGCATTTTTAAGCTTTTTGATCAATCGTTGAACTTGCTCTGGCCACAAGGTGTGAAATACGATGACGTACTTTTATTTGTAACTGATGTCGCGCCTTATATGATTAAGGCCGGTAAAGCAATTCAAAATTTGTATTCTAAAATAATACACGTAACTTGCTTGGCGCACGGGCTTCATCGAGTTGCTGAAGAGATAAGAAACCAGTATAAAAACGCCGATCAACTCGTATGCAATGTGAAAACATTTTTCTTAAAGCGCCGTCTACTATTCAAACATTAAAATCTGTTTCACCTGATATTCTATTACCTCCTCAACCAATTTTAACCAGGTGGGGTACATGGATAGATGCTGCTTTATACTATAGCAAACATTTTAAAATAATTAAACAGGTTATTGATATGCTTGATGAGAACGATGCAGAATCTATCAAAAAATGTAAACAAATTTTAAAATCAGATAATTTGGAAGCAAATTTAGCTTTTATCATGTATAATTATAGATTTATTTCAACATCTATCACTCGACTTGAAACCCAAGGCATGGCACTAACTGAATCCATTAAAATAATTAAATCTACAGAAGAATACATTAATTCTGCAAAAATTGGAGATTCTGTCCAAGCTAAAGCAATTGATGACAAATTCCAAAAAGTTATGGAGAAAAATGTTGGATTTGATCAACTACAAATAATATCAAACATTATAAATGGACAAAATGAATATATGGACGGATTGCCTGCAGATATTAGTAGTGGTGATATTCCGTTTTTTAAATTTGCACCAATAAGTTCCATTGACGTGGAACGTTCCTTTTCAAAATATAAAAATATTTTGGCAGATAACAGGAGGTCATTCAAATTTTCTAACTTACGAAAATATCTAATAGTTCAATGTAATGTTCAAGGTAATTATTACTATGTTAATTTAAAAAATAAACACATTTATTCAATTTCAAAGTTGTTATTTTAAAAAAGTATAATTTTTATTATTTTAGACTGAAACACGATGAAAGAAGAAAAACAATTACTTGTTACTACAAGTTTTTTTTTACTATAAATAAAAATTTATGATTTTTATATTTATATTTAGATATTAAAATAAAAAGGTTTTATTAAATACTGTAATTCTTGTAATTTTTTTTAATGCATATTTTAAGAGCATATTTAGTGATTTTTAAGAGCATAAATGCATACATTTTTTAAGGTTTTTAAGGGCATGAAGTCCCTAGCCCTAATAATAACATAAGTATAACATAATTTTAGCATCCCGATATTTTTGCTTTAATATTATAATTGCGCCTATGATTAAAGTATTTACTTTATGTATATAATTTTGTTAACTATTCAAAATTTAAATTATTATAACTTTTAGGCAAAACATGAGTCATGTGATCTAGTAAAGTACTTATTTGTGTGTTTTATAAAAATAGTGAATTCCACATCATTATTCCGCACCTCAACTGTTACCTAAATCTTATAATACTAATATTTTAGAAATTAAAATTACAAAAATTATCACCAATTAATCAACAATTTTATTTAGTTCATTTAATTGTATCAATATAAATACTTTAAAGAGGTGCCTAGATATACTACCCTCGGAAATAGTTTTTTTTTTACAGTAAGCATGATATTTAACATGATTTATTTATATTATAACTATATAATACTCACGGAAACACGAACGGGTCAACACTGAAACAAAATAATCAAAAAAACATATATTTTTCATATGTATATTCTGGATTCATTCAGAATTGATTAAAATTATGAAATTGTATGATTATACAAAGAAATCCGATATTCATTGTTTGTAGTAATTTCATTATAAAGCGAAAGTTTATTTCTTATGCTTTTCCTCGTGCCGCAATTTTAGAATGCTGCATTTGGGATGTTCAATTATTTATAGAAATAAAGTTATTAGAATTCTTCTTTTTCTTCTTCCTCGCCTTAATCCCAACTACTTGGTGTCGGTCAAATAAAATTATTTGAATGGTTTTTTTAAATAAGCGGACCATACATTTATTTTGATATTATTGATTATGATTATATATAAATATTACCTTCTGGTAGAATAAAGTTTAATGTTAAAATCGTGATTAAATAATATAAATTCTGAAAAAAATAACAAAATTAGATTTTTAAATTAACTACATCAGAAGTTACTTACCATTTTTTTTACTTTAAATTCTTTTATGAAATTTCAAAACGTTTTGTAAAAACAATTTTTTTTTTAATAATCCGTAAAATGTTTTGTAATCACATTTTTCTAACATTTTAATGAAATAATTGCTGTGTAAAAATTCATCAACAGGTGGTTTTTTATTTAATTTAATCATTTTTCAGATAAAGCAGGAACGTGTATAAATATTAACTAGACAACAGTTCTATTTGTAATCGATATTATTTTTGGGTCACAAGCGTAGAAAAATTGTAATATAAAATCTTTTATCCGATTGTAACGTGATTTCCCGCTAGGGTCCTAACAGTTGGATAAGCTGTATCTAAACGGGGCAACGCTGGTCCTATATAATTTATATCTCACTAAAAAAGCATCAGTGGTTTCGTGACCAAATAAATATAGACTCTCAACTAACAACGATAACTAGCATTTATTTCTATTTAATATTATTTAAATATAACCTGACTGGATCTCTAGAGAAGTTGGTGGTATCCAAGTTAGGTGAGCAACGGCGGTGAGTGTACATAACCCGAAATAATAATAATAAATAAATAATAATAGTATTTAATTTAGTGACTACAAAAATACTACGTGAGTTATCAGATCAATAAAGTTTAGTTGCCGCGTTTTAACGTGGTAAAATGTCGAATGACTTAGTTTTGTTTTTAATTAATTCAAGAAAATTGTGAAATCGGTTTATTTACACCCGCGCGCCTCATACTTATAGTTGAGCTGTAGGGTCGTTTGTGCTGATCAGGCACTAGAATAGTTGTTAATTGTTAATGTTGATGAAGGACGAATAATCTGTTCGTAACAAGAGTGCCAGCATTTAGCAAACATATTATTTCCTTTTAATGGTAAAACTAAGACCAAGGAAAGCTTAGTAAATGTTATTGCAGCGTTGTCATATAAAGTAAAAGTCTCTTGTTTAGCAATAAAATAAGTAGTATTTCATTGTTAAACAAAAAATAATATTTATAAGCAATATATTAAATTTTAATATTATGACAATTGAGTGAATTTCAAATACTTTTAAACAAAATTTTAGTTTAACTTGCAAGTATATAATTTATATCATTAAATAGAAAATCTCACGAGTAAAAAAAAATATTCTATTTTTTAGATTGATATGTGATCAAAAACTTATATAATTTTATTAATAGTAAATTTATGAGGAAAACTCAAATTTTCGATAAAAATGCTTTATTGTATTTTTATTGTAATGAATCATTTTAATAAAAGTCCTAGTAATCATATCAATGTAACTCTTGGTGTTTAAATAGATGCAGTGGCGTATTTTGAATGATTTCTCGGGTGGTGTCCAATTTTTAATGAACCTCATAAACGAAAATTGTAGAAATGTTTACTGACGTAAAAAAAAACTTACTATTTTTCTAATTACTATTTTAGGAATTGACAAACAATTTGAAATTTGAAATTTTGGTACTGTTGTATCTTAAAAGAAACAAACCTAGTGTCTTAACTTAAAGTAATAAAAGTTTAATAATAACTCAAATGTATTTATTATAGATATAATTAAACAATGCAAAACATACAAAATAAATATACACTAAAAACACAATAAAACAATACACAAAATGAAAACTTAATGTCATAAACGTACCGCGCGAAAAGAGATTACCTTCGGTGCTCCTGAGGTCCTCTCTCCTCTACGATTCATTCCATTTCGTCTTATATACTAAAATATTTTGTTTTTCTTCTTTTTGCAAAATTAATAATACTATCGTTTTCAAAAATGTTTATAAATATTTAATTCCTGGTCTAGTAATAATAGATCAGGAAATTACAATTAAACGAAACATTACAAAAATGTTTTACTTCCAGCTTTACAAATGATAAACTATATTACAGTATACAGACTGATTTTTTTATCATAACCCACTCATTTACTTGTAGAATAAATATAATTTAAACATTATTTTTGGTTTTCTTTAGTTACACATTATTCTTAAATTATTAACTATTTAAAACTTTTTATGTTCATCCCTTATGCCTTGTAAGGGTGTCAACTTTGTCTTTTTGTCTTTTAAATGGGAACACATATTTTGAATATAATAAAATGTTTGGATTTTTAATTAAATAGTAAATGGCATTTGAATTTTTAATATAACTTTATTAGTTTATTAGATATAAACATTTAAAGTTTCAAATTTTTGAGTTAATATACATGTATAATACACATGATGATATGATTACAAATACAGGTAGCTAAATGGTTTATATGATATCAATGTCGCAGTCACGGATTGTTTATTATCAATTATGACTATCATAGATATACTTTCTGTATTGACAGTTAGTGTATTTATAAACTCACAACAATGTGCCTTACTACCATTGATAATAACAATGCTGTGTACCTGCTAATTTCTTTGAAGTTGTTTTAAACAAAGTAACTCATAACTAAATACTTTATTTATAATAAGTAAACAAATAATAAAATCTCCTTTCAGTATTGATGTTCGTAAATTACTTGCTTTTGATGATGTTTCAGTGTCATTCCACTTCGAAATTATAAATAACGATTCAATTAGGTACACAAAAAGCTCAAGAAAATCATTGACAGCATAAAAACGTTCAACTCATTTAGTCGCACATAATTGTTTTAATGATTTTTTAGTTATACATTTTTGACTTTCTTCGATTTGACTTTTCAACACATCTTTTCGCTTTGGGTATATGAAAAAATCTCTAACTTTAGATTTTGTTCCTAATCAATTTCATGTTTTTTGTATAGAAGATGAATAAGAAATAGCAAGGTTTAAAACATGAACAGCACAATGAACAAACGTCGCAAGCGGATAAATTTGATGAATAAGAGATTGAGCTCCGTTAAATTGACCAGACATAGAAGCACATCCATCGTAACACTGTCTTCTAAGGTATTTTGTTTCTACACCAAATGAATGTAAATTTTGAATAATAATATATAAACCTTTTCCAGTAGTATCTATTGTAGGCAAAAACTGAAGAATTCTTCCTTGATAATCATATTTTCAACATCTAAATATCGAACACACAAAGTTACTTTTTCGCTTTCACCACACCCAAAGAAAAACCTCAATCAAAATTGAAAGAGAAATTTTATCAAGGGTTTATGATAATGTTTTATTAATACGAACAAAATAACTATTCTTATAAATAATTATTGTTCAAGACAAGAAAAAAATTATCATATTGATAAATATATCATTGATTCAATAGTAATGATATATTTATCAAATTGAACAATGAATTTATTATATAGATCGAGGTTTTTCTCTGGGTGNAAATATCGAACACACAAAGTTACTTGTTCGCTTCCACCAATGTCGGCCGTTTCATCAGCAAGTATTTTGAAACATCTTTGGGAATTTATGTTTGTTACGATTTTATTTAAAATAATTTTATTGCAGGATTCAATTATTTCATTTTAAAATGTTTCACTTGTATATTTTATTGTTTCTTCAGCTTCCAAAAATGATTTTAAACGGTCATCTCCTTGGTTCTGTATCTTAATATTTCTCTAAAATTTCCTTGATTTCTTTGGATAATTTGTCATTTTCTTGATATATATTGAAGTTACAAACATAACCGTTATTGTCAAAAAAAAAAACTAAATAATAATAATAATAACATTAAAAATGCAAATAATAATTAAACCTATAAGGTAGTTAAACCCTAAAGTTATTTTCGATTTGTTAAAGTCGTTAAAATTAATTCAAATCTCCTGTTATTTTCTTTTATCAGAATTATTATGTCATTAATTCAATTATTAATTAAATTGTTAAACTATATTATATATTCAACTTAATAAATTTTTATGTTAATTATAATCGCATGGCATGATGTTTTTTGTTAATAACTAAATGGTAATAGCAATTTCACATGGGCAAAATTTTTAATAGTTGCAAGAGAATAAATCCAAACGTTGATATTTTATTTCATACAGATTAAATTTTATATGCATAAATATTCTGTTAACCGATATCAAATTTATTCCACTTGAACTTTCATAAAAAAATCTCTATCATTTNATTAACCGATACCAAATTTATTCCACTTGAACTTTCATAAAAAAATCTCTATCATTTGTAAATTAATGTAATAAATAAACAAATAAATACAAAAGGTTTTTCTTCAAAATATCTTTAAAATATATATATATTTTTTGATAATTTTCTGTAAAAAATTCTTAAAATATTGTATTCTATGACCAATAATACAATTAAAATAAATAAGTATTGTTTATACTAAATTTATTTATAATTGGCTTATACATTTTTTTAATCAATTTTTACAATTAAGTTTCCTTGATAATTAAATGTAAATGTTGATTTTATCGACATTTCAGTTCACTTCATTTTTTCCCGTGAAAAATAAACTATCGTCTTGTGTAATTATTAAGATTTATTTAATTAGTTATTGATATGGCAAGTGAAAAAAATATTTTTGGTCAAACAAATGAATCAAACTTACATAAGGTCATACGCAGAGTTGAAGAAATATGGAATCGTCGTTTCATGCATTCCAATTGTGTTTTAAATAATACAAATAAAGGACAAATATCAAAAAAGTCAACTAAAGATGGAAGAATTATCTGTAAACACTATTAAGATTAATAATTAAACTAACTATTTCGAATAGAGAAAAAGTTTTTTAATATAAANATAATTATTTTGAATAGAGAAAGAGTTTTTTAATATAAAATATAAGAAAAATTAATAATAAGTTCTCTTATTCATATATAACAATAATTCAGTCGCTTTACTTTAATTTAACTATTTTAATATTAAAAACCTTTTTCGAAATTGATTATTTAATTAATAATTATTAAAATTATATTCAATTTGCAGCAATTATTAATAAAAATATTTATCCTATAAAAAATTCCATTATTCCAAAAAAACGCACGTATCGAAAAACGAATAAAAATGATAAAATTATTCCAGAAAAATTGGTAACTATAATTATATTAATATATTTATTCGATTTAGCTATGTTATTGGGGTTTGTCTGATTCAAAAATATAAAATAAACTATCAACCCCCTTAATATAAATGCGGTAACATAATGTTTAATATTATTCTGCTATTTTTTCTATTAGATTTTTATGGGAAATTCAATTTTTATCGAAGATAATAATATAATATTAAGTATAGTTTATTTGTTTATTTAAATATCTCTTTGGTTACCTAGAATATGATGCAGCAAAGAGAATTCGGAACACTTTTTCAGAATGAAAAATCTGAAAAATATAAAAATGAAATTTTTAATTCAACAGAAAAAAAAAAATTAGCAATTTCAAAAGACAATCCGCTATTAATATCAGCTGATTTGTTAGAAAAGGTATATTTTATTATGCTTTATTTTAATAAAAAGATTTTAGGGTATATCCTAAACCATTTTTTGGACTTAAAGCAGATTTCTTAAATAAATTTATCATATAATTAATTATATTTTTATGATCCGTTAAGAGTTTTCATAATAAAAATTTGGAACGCAAATCCGAAATAAAAAAACAACTTTTTGAGATATCTTCTAATATTACTGCTCGACCAAATTTAAAAAGAAATTCATCCGGAGAAGATGAAAAAGTCATAAAAAGTATACAACTTTTAAAATATAATTCATTTTTAAAAAATAATATAATAAACGTTTTGATTTTTGAAACAAATATGTAATATTTTAAAACATAAATTATTTTAGAGCCAAAAGTTAGTTCGAATCCTTTGACCTTAAATACGCCGAATGATGTAAATTTACTTGCTCTGTCCACTATTGAAGTAATAAAAGTATCAAAGAAAGAAAATGGTAATTAGTTATTTAATCTATTTATTTTATGTAAAATATAATAAAAAAAGATTATTTATTAAACATAATTAATAATTATAATACGTGTTAAATTAATATAACCTCTGCAGAGGCGTGTCATTAAGGGGCTCCATGGACGTTTTAAACAAAAGTAATTATACGTGTTTAATTTCATAGTCCAAAATCTTAAATAAACTTAACTAATTGTAAACTGTTCAACAAAGTTTTTTATTAATTTTATGAAAAATGTTTAAATATGGTTACACTTGCAGAAGTAATGCAAGATCAGAACACAAAATCTCTTGATCAGTATAATGCACCTTCATTTAAATCGCCCACATCTTGGTATACTTCAGACACAATTAATGAGTACATTAAAATGATAGTAAAACGGTCAGAAGGTGAAGTTTATGCAGTTGTCACTGATTTTATTGTAGCGTATCTTCGAGGAGGTTATCCAGCTGTAAGAAGATGGATAAAAAAAGATATTCACACAATAAAATTACTTTTTGTGCCCATGAATGTATATGGGAGTCATTGGATATTGACAGTGGTTAATATACCTGAAAAGACTGTGACATCATATGATAGTCTTAAGTCGTATAAGGGTCCTTATCCAATGGTATTAAAAAATTTCTTAATTGAATGGGAGATGGACAAAAAAGGAAAAGCTTCTACATGGGCATTACAAATAGGTGAGACATCTCGCCAAACCAATGGACATGATTGTGGGCCATTTACTGTTGAGCTGGCAGAAAAAATGTCTCGAGGAGATACAACACCAATAAATGCAAATTTTATGCCTTTTATAAGATTAAGACACAAAAATGAAATTATTGCTGGCGAGCTATTCAATTAATATTTTTATGAATGAAATTTTATTTTTGTATTTTATATCAATTTTCTTAATATTCACTATAAATTGAAATTTTTATTTGTATACCACCAAACATTTTTTTACTTTTTCTATGTTTAATTGTTGTTTTGTTATTTTATTTTAATCTTATTTTTCTTTGTAACATTTCATTAAAGAAATTCAAATTTAATATAAATTTATCTTAACTGAAATAATTTAATGTTCTTGTTATGTGAATATACAAATATTATAATATACAGTTATGGATACAATTAAGTTAAAAAGTCAGCCAATTATAAATTTTTAAATTAACAAGCGTATCTACTATCTTAACAACTTAATTTTAATTTTACTAAATGACGATTCATAAAGAATTTCATAACTTTTGTTTATTTTTTAAATACTATTTTAATTATAAAAAAAATTTTCTGTATTTTTTATGAATGCGGTATATTGAATAGGGGTAACTAAACTTATTTGTTTATAATTT